GGGGCAGAAAGAAAGCAGAAGACTCAGCAGCAGCAGCAGCAGAAGAAGAAGAAGAAGAAGAGGAGGAGGAGGAGGAGGAGGAAGAAAGCAGAAGAAGAAGAAGAAGAAGAAGAAGAAGAGGAAGAAGAAGGATGATGCCACGAGAAGAAGATGGTATTTACTATTTAGCATTCTGTCTTGTTGCATGGTCAGTGGGCTCACAGCAGACTGACCTGAGCATCTGCCAGGGCTCCTGCAAGGCCATCCAGATATCCGCAGAATGGCCCTCCATCTCCATACAAGCACCGCAGAAAGCGACACCTATCCTGTGCATTCCATCTTCTATTCTCACAGACAATCCAAGCCATCCACCCAAGGATACACCGACGTGCCAGTTCCATCCATGTGAGCTCGTTGACAGGGCAGCTCGCATCTGCATTTTCCTCCCACTGCAGTGGTCGTTCTCTCCCCTCCCCTTCGCTCACTTCTGCACCTTTGCTTGGACCCCCCTTTCCACTGCTGCCGGCTTTTCTCCTTACGCTCATTGTTCCCCTAAGTTCTCGGCCGGCACAGACAGGCAACACCTCCTCCTCCTCCTCCACCTCGCGACTTTTGACCTCCCCGTTCTCCCTCTCCTCTTTAAGCGACCCGCCACACGCCTGCCACCCTTGACACCCATATCGACTACATTCTTTCTCTTTGATTCGCCGCCTCAATTCTGCGAGAAGAAATCCCACGAGCCTCATGTGGACCCGTAACAACGAACCAGCAATGCCTGACGAAACACCTTCCCCTGCCGTCTCTTTTACACCGCCGCGGCATTCACCCTCCTCTTCCTTGCCACTCGTATCCGGCATCTCCCAACTATTGTTTGCACCCCCCCCGACATCCTGTGCCACAGGGTCCTCCTTCGGCGAGGTTTCCCTCATTGAAGTCCCCTTTGCAGTCTGGAACCCTCTCGCTGCCAGTAGGCTGGGGTTGTTTCCGCCCCCCCGGTCATCGACGAGCGCGGCTGCATCATTTCCACCCTCCCTCCTATCGCCATTACTCATCCGTCTATGGACCGCGACCTCCTCCTCCTCCCCCTCCTCACCCTCTTCACACACGCCATCCGCCGGACCCTTTCCCTCACAATTCCTTCTCTTTCGCTTCTTCTGGGACACAGCCGAACCAGCCGCAAAGGAGGAGCCACCTTTTCCAGCCCGTCCCTCGCTGGGTCTTGCTTCCCCAGCTTCGCCCGCCCACTCACCATCTCCGGACGCACCCCTCAGTCCGTAAACATAACCCTTCTCCTGCAGATCCCTCTCAAACTCTCCCAACGCATACTCCCTCCAGGACCCGGTCAGCGCCGCCTCCAGTTCGTGTAGACTCCAGTGCTTCTCCAAGCCGATGCAGTCTTTCACACAACTCAAGAAACTCCATATCTGTCCATACCCAACGCCAACACCCGGACCCAACAACAAATGCACACCGTACACGCATGCGTTATTATATCCATGCCAAACATCCACACCCATATAACAGTACCCGGATTTTGACAGAGAAAGAACGAATGAACATGCCAACACACAAACGCAACAACAAAGGCACACCATACACACATGTATTATTACATCCCTGCCGAACAACCACACGCATACATCAGCGCCCAGATTACGTCAAAGAAAGAACAAATGAACATCTCGACGTTGCACAGACCAGGCACATGTCTGTTTGTCCTGAAGAGGTACAATGAGCCACCCCATGTGGCTGAAGGGGACATACAGGTAACTGTTAACAAACACGCCATAAAAAAAAACAGGTGATAAACCATGGCAACCCCGGACCTGGACACCGAACACTTCCGGACTGTCTTCCGGACCAGTGCCTGGACCGGTCCGGACTGTCCGGTGATCCGTACATCACCGGACACCGGACCGGACAGTCCGGACTGGTCCCTGGGGTGCAAAAATGTCCGGACCTTAAAAAAAAAAAAAAAACAGGGGTGGGGGTTGGGTAGGGGTGTTGGCCAGCACTTACCTGCTTTGCACTCTGTAGTTCAGGCAGCAGAGCACGTGTCTTGTAGCAAATCAACCAGCACATTTAACTAGCAGACATGCAGAGTTGCAAACAGTGCAAAGCAGGCACAAGACTAAAGAAACAGAGAATTAAAAAAAAAAAAAGTTTGATTAACTTTGAACTTTGAACTTTGGATTTAGTAATTTAAGTTCATAACTTCATATATAACTTAAAAGTTTGCAGTTCAATTCAGAACGTCAGAGTCTTGAGACTGGCATCACTGTCAGTGCTCTCTCTCTCTCTCTCTCTCTCTCTCTCTCTCTCTTCCCCCAACGGGCAGCAGCGGCGGGCGCCACGTCGAAACGGCCTCTTGCTCGGGCCTGTGCGAAACCCGCCACCTCAAAAACCTGCAGTGTGTTGTGTGTGGACCTCTAGGCCTGCCCCTGGACAAAGGGCAAGCGCGGGGGGAGGAAGCAAGCGCCCTGCCAGAGAAGTAGTCTACCACAGGTAGGTTAGAGGGAGGAAGACAGCGGCCATAACCGCCCAAGGTGGAGGCGACATACCGCAGTAGCATTCAGTGTAGATCTGAGCCAGAGGGAGAGAGAGAGAGAGAGAGAGAGAGAGAGAGAGAGAGACAGAGAGAAAGCAATAGAAGTCTAGAGAGTGAGAGAAGAGTGAGAGAGAGAGAGGGAGGCTCCGGTGTGAACAGTTGTACAACCCCGGAGGCTCCGGTGTGAAAGCAGGGATGTGGAAACGGTTGTTAGAACCCCGGAGGCTCCGGTGTGAAGGGAGGGATGTGGAAACGGTCGTAGTCGTGGCGTTCGTGGAGTGAACGCCGGGAGCTTCATTTTGCCGATTTCAGAAAAGGAACGGGCCTTTACCCTGTTACCAAAAAGATGGCGTGTTTTTATTTTTTTATTTTTTTTTGGAAAGAGGTTCGGGACCACACGCACAGTCCGTTGGAAATTGGAAAAACAGTCCAAGTTTGCAGTCCGCCCAACAAAGGCCGCCGCTGCCACCCACGTAATATCTCCTGCAATAACGGGACGGTGATCTGTTCTAATGTATCTGGTCCACGTTTCAGTCCAGATACATGTACGGTGCTGTGTAATGGATCTAGGCCCGCCGATGTTTTCCTCCGATTGGTCGGCGACTGTTAAGTAAATGATGATCAACCGGAAAATAGCCAATGCGTCGAGTCAATCACAACTTTTTTTTTCTTTTATTTACTTCATTATTTTTATGATTTTTAAAAAGATTTTAACATCTTCTGGATGGCGACCTATCCACATGATGTGGAAGCAAGCAACACAATTTCTGTTTAACTTCTACTTACCATAAGTAGAAGTAAAACAGAATGTGGAAAAGGAGAACGAATCTTTCACAAAATTATGGACAGATACACCACTTTTTTTTCCTTTTTTTTTTTGGAGAAAATCAAATCATTTTACTCCAGAAGAGGAACAGGTGCCCTGGAATACACCCCAACAATGCAACCCGGTACGGGTACATGCTCGGGCCCTTACCCAGCTGTAGGCTCCTGGAAACCGGGTGGGATGAGGCCCTTATAGGAGAGGGACACTGGACCCGGTTTCCAGGAGCCTACAGCTGGGTAAGGGCCCGAGCATGTATCCGTAGGGGGCTGAATTGTTGGGGTGTATTCCAGGGCACCTGTTCCTCTTCTGGAGTAAGATGACTTGATTTTCTCCAAAAAAAAGAAGTAAAAAAAATTGGTGTATCTGTCCATAATTTTGCGAAAGATTCGTTTTCCTTTTCCACATTTGGTGTCCGAAATTGAGGTCAGATAAATTAGGAAGGTGCGAGTATGGTCTCGGTTCGTACACCCACAACCTGTTCAAAAAAATAGGGCCTCGCGGCACCGCACCACTCACCAAATGCAGAAAAGAAAGCAAATTTATGGTGGTGTATCTGTCCATAATTTTGCCAAAGATTCGTTCTCTTTTCCACATTTAACGACGATTTCGTCAAAATGGACATTTTTTATTTTTTGAACGAAATTGAAACTGAGTTTTTTGGCCAAAAACTCGTCAAAATTTGTTGTTCCTGAGGGTCCAGCGTTAGGAACAACAAGTTTTGATGAGTTTTCGGCCAAAAAACTCGGTTTCAATTTCGTTCAAAAAATAAAAGATGTCCATTTTGACGAAATGACAGTTATTTGGGGAGTGGTGCGTCGAGGGCCCAAGGCCCATATATCCGAGTTCGAATCCCCAACTAAAGAAGTAGTAGAATGGAAAAGGTTCTCTGCATTTTGGGGCCGGTCCGTTCAATGATGATATATCTCAACGACATCGCTGCTCTTTCACACACACACAAAAAAAAAAAAGAAAGGACACGTGAACAAAACTGCAAGCAGCATCTCGCCGTTCTTCTTTCTTCTTTTTTTTTCACAGAAATTATCCTCCATTTCATTAAAATTCACTGCAATAAAAAACAAAATTCACCGAGGTCGAGGTCCTCACAGTCAACGAAGCATGAAACAGTACTCGGAGCCTTACCCAGCTGCGAGGAATGAGCCCTCGCGGCCCTCGCGGGGCCCTTGTCAGCCATGCACGTGTTCCGGGCTGAGGCCCCCAGCAAGCCCTGTGCCCACCCAAAGGGCGGGCCTGAGTATCCACGTGAGGCCTATTTTCGACATGTTTCCATACGTGGGTACTCAGACAGTTGCAGGACGCCAGTCGGTGACAGGGAAACGTGAGCCTTCTGGCTCTTTCCAGAAACATTGGTAGCGCTGTACAGTTGAGCCCAGGGGCGGGGTGGTTGCGCCCTGGGCACACGCAGTGTGAGGCTGACTTGACACATCACGTCGCAGCCACGGGCGAGTGAGAAAGCAGCATTGTCGTCACACATGAGCCGGGAGCCAATGAGAATGCGGCGAAGACTTGGCGGCTGCGTGGCTCTGCCTGAATGTGCCTAACGGCACGAGGCCCAGGCCAATATTGGGATCTGGGCCTGCGCGCAGACACCTGGGGCGCAACCGACGTTACTGCCCCCCCCCCCCCCCCCACCCACACGCCTCTGTCTCTTATACACATCTAGATGTGTATAAGAGAGTGTGTGGGGGACAGGGGGGTATGAATTGGCATTTAAGGGGCTAAAGGGTTCTTAAGGGGGGTGCCTTAGTCTGAGTCTGTCGTTCTCTTTTCCGTGAGGTTATGCACTGCAATTCTACACAACATATTATTTTCTGGAATTTTCTGATTTTCTTTTTATTGGCGCTGGGGCTGCCGGGAACCCTTCACAGGGTTCATGCCCAGCCAGGCACAGGGGCGTATATCCAGGCACAAGTTGGGGGCCCGGGCGCCTGGACAAACAGCCTACCTAATTAGTAAAATGATATCAAAATCTGCTTTCGGATTAAAATTAGGGGGATTTCATCAGACAGGATTGTATTCTCAATTGGGTTATTCACAAGACGGTTCCCTTTTGATACCCTGAAAGATACGAGAGATTGGCACGAGTGTGGACAAAAATAATAATGAATCTCTCGTGTCTACATCCACACTGATTATAAATCATGGCATGATTTCTACTGATTTGTACTGACCGTGGAAGAAGGGGTTGAAGAAATACAAGGGCTTGGTATGACTTGTAATCAAGAAGAAGAAGAAGAAGAAGAAGAAGAAGAAGAAGAAGAAGAAGAAGAAGAAGAAGAAGAAGAAGAAGAAGAAGAAGAAGAAGAAAAGAAGAAGAAGAAGAAGAAGAAGAAGAAGAAGAAGAGGAGGAGGAGGAAGCAGAAGAAGATGAAGAAGAAGAAAAAGATGGAGGAGGAGGAGGAAGAAGGCAGAAGTCGTAGCAGAAGAAGAAGAGGGAGGAGGAGGAGGAGGAGGAGGAGGAGGAGGAGGAGGAGGAAGAAAG